TATTTCAAAGTAAATAGGAGGAAGACCATGAGTGGAGCTGTAATACAACCAGGGCTGCATCAGTTCTTCAGGACCGAAGGACATCTCAGGCCATTATCACTGCCATCTCACTGTCAGGGAAACGTGTGAGATCTGAGACATCAGGGAGCGAGGGCAAGCAGAGGACACCTTCTCAGATGAAGTGGGAGGAAGAGAGCTGCAAAAAGAAATTGGAGCCCTCAATTTCACCCTGAGAAAATGCACAGGGAGACCCAGACCTGACTGCTTGGGCCACGGGACTCCCCAAAATGTAGCAGCTTGTTTAAGGCTCCGCTGCTTCTTGGGATGAGGCGTAGCTGCAGCGAGGCTGGGACACGACTTCCTCAGGCTGGGCCACAGCTGGTGGGTGGGGATGCCGCAGTGTCCGGCAGCGAAGGAATGCAATCCTCTCTCCATAAATCTGGCTCTTCAGCAGTCCTGGCGACTTGCTGTGCAAAACTACAGCTTGGTCCTCTTAGATGCGTTATTATCCTCTAGCTGCTTGCTGAGGGGCAGGGCTCCGAGCCACAAATTGCTTGGAAGGTACCAAAATAGCACAACAAGCATGGGAACAGAGTGGCATATCCACTTCATATTTAAGAGGTATCCCCTGGAAAACAGCTCATCCTGCGTGTCCCAAATGAATTCAGTTCAGTCCCCCTCCACTGCACTGATGTTAATGCAGAGAATCTCAAGCAGCGAAACTGTGTGAGCTGAAAGCCATGAATAAAACATTACTGGAGATACTCTCTTGTGAAAATAAACTTGTTTTGACTTTTTTAAAAGAGTGTCTTTTTACTGCCTTGAAGCGAGCTTGGCTGGTGAATTGGGACCTCCAGAGGGGTGGCCAGCGTTCCTGTGCATCACTGACCAAATTCTCCATTTGACCAAAATCCTGAGCGTGAAAGGGAAGCCGCAGCCAGGACATGATGAGGATGTGGGGCAGATTGGCTTGGCCGAGCAGCTGAGACCCTCCGTTTTGGCTGTCAGTAGGTGCTTTCCTGGGCCCACCCAAATCCTATCAACCTGCTTCCTCCCCCTCAGCCAGCTCAAGGGCTGCATGTTGGGCATCTCTCTGCCTTGGATAGTCCTCACTGTAAGCACGTTTATAACTCTGATACCAGCAACAGAAGAACACAGGGACTTCCAGCCTCCACTAACCCATCATCTTGTCTCTGATAAATCACAACTAGGGCTCAGAAACCAGCCAAGGCAATATTTACTCCCTCTAATGCTTCCTGATGTATGGGAAGGGCAGCCTCTCCCAGGAGGAGGGTTAGCAGGCTGCCTGAGCTTGCAACTATGAGCATTTGGGATGCCCAGCTAACTCGCTGGCCAGGGTACCCAGGCACATCTCAGCAGGGCAGCCACGCTGTGGCAGCAATGCCATCGCTGGCCACCGTGGCAAGGAGGGGCAGGTGCCTTCTTTTAGCAAAAAGCAGCCAGGAAGCAAGAGGGAGAAAGGTGGGTCCCCACCGGCAGCCCCGAGGACACTGCAGGACGAGAGCGCTTTCAGCCCAAATACTCAGAGGGAATGTTGGGCAGCTAGCCGGACCTACCAGCATCACAGCCCCAGCTGCAAATCCCCCAGGATGGTGTACAAGCTTGCCCCAACCCTTCCGACTCACCGTGTTCAGGGGAGCTTCAGGAGCACGAAGCTAAGTCACCTCTCGCCCCACCTGCAGCAGGCGCATCCCTCTCCCTGCTGGGAAACAGGACCCAGGGTTGGGGGGGGAACCAAGCAGGTGGGGTTAATGCAGCAGCCAAGCCTTATAAACACCACAAATCCCATGATTTTAACCCAACTGACCACAGCTGATGGTTAAATGCCTCCTCCTCCTCCCACCACCACACACGGCTATGGGGCTGCCAGGACCCAGCAGCATCTTTGCCAGGGTCTGGGCTCCTTTCCCCCCCAGGAGTTGCCCGCCACATCACCCCGACACCAGAGCATCCTTCATGCCAACCCCAGAAATGGCATGGAAATGCGGCAAAAGTCTCCCTTGAATGTTTTGTGTCCTCCCCTGTGCACCACGCCATACCTTACCCTTGCCATGCCGTCACCTTCCCTCCTTCCCTAAAACTCCTTAATTTAGGATTAAACCAAACCATCCCAAATGCCCGTGCTGGCAGGGCTCAGCCCCGCTGTCCTGGGGCACAGGGGGAAGAGGAGAGGGGATTTGCCTTCTGGTTTTGAATTTTCTGTTACCAGGAACTCTATAAATAGGTCCTTGCACAACTGCGTGTCTCCAGAAGTCAAGACCTTAAGGAAGGCGAAACTTGACAGTTTTTACAAGAATCACTAGCCCCAAAATCATGATAAAATATTTCAATCCTAGAATTATTTCAATGGGCTTCTGCTAATGGTGTTAATCAGCAGCACCGTTGCTCCAGCTCCACGATGGCTCTCAGCAGGGTGGGGGATCCAACATGGCAAAAAATCAGGTGTTGACCAAATGCCCTGATTTTGCTGGGAGGAGAAATGCTTTTCTGCACTTTTTACCCTTTATAGGGAATTAATGCTACACTCTCCTTCACCCACATGGAAAAACAGTCACGGTCCTGAAATGCTCTCCCAGCTCCATCCCTGCCTGAGCCCTCGCCCCTTACAACAGGCGGACAGCAGCCGCTCCGGCTGTATTTCTATCATTGTCCCTAACCCGAGGCTGGATTTTTTTTCCCCGAAAGCAGCTTGGCAGCAGGAGCTCAGCCTGCGACGAGAGCGTAGAGCAGCCACGGCACCTGGGCAGGAGGTTATTTTTAACCTGATTCTTAACTACATGATGCGATCTGATGTGATTAAATAAAGCATGAAACTCTCTGTAGGGTTCTGCGTAGCGAGTTCAGAGCTGCCCAGTTCTCTGCGGTGTCTCTCCCACTGCCATCTGCCGGTCACCATTTAGCAGGGCTAGCAGTGACCGTGACCTAAAAAAACCCCGCAGGCAGCTGGTTTCCTGCAAGAGAGCTGGTGCTGCTGGGCTCCTGCAGCAGATTTCAGGGAGAAAGGAAACGCAGAGCCGCGGGGCAGCCTCGCCAGGCAAAGCAGGGGTGGAAGGATGGGGAAAAGCAAAAAGCAAAGGTCTGATCCCAGCATCACTCCTGTGCCGCGAGTTTATGCCTCCCGAGGGCCTTTCCCCGCGTGCTGCTCGCAGCTGGGTGATGTTCTGCACTGAAAATGCTGCAGAAGCACAGGATCTGGGGACACACACTTGCATTTAACTTCTTTTTTTGCTGCAAAGAGGAAAAAGTGTGCGTTTGGGGGCGGGAAGGGGCTGGCTGCTGGGCCTCTCAAAACAGGGAACCAGAAGCGCTCCAGCCCCAGTTTCGATCTCTTTTTTTGCTCGGAGCTCTCTTCCTCTTGCTTTCCGTGCCCAAAAATTCCTGGTGGGGACACATTTTTGCTTTGCACTCTGCTGGGCGCTCGGGGAATACTCCCTACGTCATTCTCAATCTCCTCCTTCTGCTGCTTTTACACAGCCTTAAAAACATGAAGTTGCAACCTTGCAAAAACCGGCACCCCGATGCTTTTGGAAAGCAAAACACCCCTTCAGCACCCCCAGGAGCCACACTGTCTTTTAGCAGTTCTACCTAAGCACACGATCAAGAGCATTTTACAGATATAATGAGCAGGTCCCCGGCTTCCAGATCCCCCAGCGAGACACTGCACGCCCCACAACAGACTTTCACAACAGGATTTATTCAGTGCATGCTCTGGGGATGCACAGGACACAGCATCGTGGGGGAGGACACGAATATTGGCCTTCAGGTCATTCTCCACCTCATCTCTTTAAGAAATCAAAGGATGCAACCACCAGGGAAGGGACTGTATCTCCTAGCCCCTTCCACCGGTCTGCAAAGCTTGTCACATATTTAACACACCTTACTGGGAGTCCTCAGGGGAAGGGAGCAGAGACATGGGGGAATAAAACACACAGTGTCCCAGACAACGAAAGCGGTCCTCCAACAAGTCCTGGAACCATTGGTAACCTCTAACATCATTCACTTGGCTCTCTTGAGCTCAAATTGTACCAGCACACGTGATGACTTGTTTCTCCTAGACCAGGTTCCACCACAGGCAAAATACATGTCAACCGGGATCTGTATCTAAATTCAAATACACTTAAGTTATGCAAAGAAAGAAGCCATGCAGAAGAAAGCTGTATGAAGGAGACGATGACTCCTCTTTAGCGCTGAAGGTTTTTCTTCTGTGCATGCACACAGGTGCAGGCACACGCGTAAAATACAGTCATGGCAATGGACTAACTGTGAAATGGGTACATGCGGTAGAGAGCAGAAGAGAGGAAGGAGGCGAGGGCTGCAGAGGTGTGAGGAGGAGAAAGGAGTACAGCTGGGTAGTACTGGCCATAGCTAAACCAGAACCAGGAAGGAAACAGAAATCCTTTCCTGTGGGGAAAAAAAAAAAGCCACTCTTTTTGGACAAGAAAGGAAGAGATGAAACTTCTCCAAAATCGAGACAGACAGACACATCAGGAGGGGAAAAGAGCATATTTGTTGGAAACTCATCCTGACAAACACCAAACCCAACCACCACGTCTCATCTACAGACAAACACCAAAACCAATGACCACGTCTCATCGCCACTCGGGTTTCCAAGTCATTTTGCTTTCCCTGGGGACATGGTGTGGTGGGGCCTGCCAGCCACACAGGTGGGGGGGAGAGCTCATCATTTCCAGTTTGAAAACGGACCAGAAGCCCAGGCTGGTCAGGAAGAAAAGAGAAGCGTCCAAGGTCACCAGCATTATGGCAGACACCCTCCTGCCCTTGGGTCTCCTCGGGAAGGGGACCAAGTTCCCATGGGACTGCCAGCTGCCCTTGGCTCGTCAGGGCTGGAGCAGATGAGGCAGCGTAAGAAGAGAGCGTGTCAACCTGAATTGTCCGTGGTGTCTCCCAAGCCTACCAGGGTTGTGGAACAACCAATGCTGAAGAAAGCCTTGGTGACTGGTGCAGGGACAGCTGAGAAAGACCATTCAAAGCAGAAGGCCCACCAGGATGACACTGGGTAGGAGGAAGAGTGAAAGCCCCAAGCAGGTACTGGGGGCTCCACCCGTGGGCTGATCCATGCTTGTCTGGTCTGAGTTTGTCTCCAGTTCTTCAGTGTCCAGGGCACCTGCTGGCAGAAGAAAACCTGGAGTTAGAGGGGAAGATCTGGACAAAAGAGAAACTCCCGGTCACGCAGGTCCATCAGCGACGTGCACCAAGACACCGCGAGGTAGCAGTGGCCCGATCCAGCGAAGGCGTGACACAGCTGGTGGGTTAGTGGGGAGCAGGCTGTAAACAAAACCATGCTTCACAAACGAGACATCCAACCAGCCCCTTCAGCGTTAGAGGAAAGAGT